GGGRAAAAATTATAAATCATATTCTYTTCTCTTCTCACTCTCTTGTCTTTCAATTACTCCTCTTCTATTCTATTTTCTTCCTTTCACTTTCCTATATTTTCTTTYCTTTTATAATAGTTCTAGTGCTAAGAAGTTTTCTTTTTTCCTGTACTTCACGAAGCCCTCGTAACTGACAATCAACCATTTGGTTTTCAGGGGCCCTTTTCTTGCTGTGGTGYCAAGTCCTCCTAAGTAGTCCTTACCGATAAGCATTTATCAAGTGTTTGTATAACATCAAAAAAACCATCTCCTTTATCCCTTTTCTAAAATGATTTTTTAGATATATAAAATAATTATGATGAACAGTCAATAAATTTCGAACAAACACAAAAACACAACATCGAAATGTCAATTCACCACAGCATACTTAATATATATTTTTTACCCTATTTGATATTTATATACATTAATTTTTAACCAATTTTTTAAAACTCTTCTTGGAAAAAAATTCCAATTTTATTTTGTTAATAATAATAATAATAATAATAATAATAATAATAATAATAATAATAATATCATTAATTTTCGGTCAATTTGCTTGATTTCAACTTTTATATTATTGTTTTTGTTTTAGTTTTTTAATGTTTATATTTATTATCTCAATATTTTATAGTGGTAACGAACTTTTTATATTTTTTATTTCTATCGATATCATCACATCTCATTATCGCTATAACTGTGTCGACTTTCGTTTTTATTTTGTTTTTTGTTTTTTTTCTTCTTCATTTTGCTTTGCATTTGATGTTTATTAAAAAGTTATTGATTTTCTTCATTGCTATATTTAACTCGCTCAACAGTTATTTTTATTTTCCCCTCTTTATTTTAAACCTACGTATACGAGAAGCTGAGTCCTTTCTAATCAATTAAAATTATATTAACTAGGTGTTATAAGAATTAATTAGCTGTACTTCTCAGTGTCGAAACTACTTGACAGAGGACGTTATTCTCTTTCATTTCTGATGTACTTGTCAGGCAAGAGACATGATCTGGAGAATCTAGTAATAATTATTGATAACGCTTCCAGCTGAGTGTTTACATTATAAATATGGTTGCATTCTCTCAGGAAAGCAAAAACAGCTGAGAGGGCAAAAGATTTAGAGTCGAATTTTTGAATTATAGGCAATTATTATTTTTTGTCTATTGAAAAGACCCGTTTTGCTTTGGGGTAATTTTCCCCCACTTTAGACCACGTGTCCTTTTCATGAGCATAACTGCTTGTTTGGGTAAATTCTTGAGTGTAACCGTCAAGCAAAGAAATGATACTCTAGGGAATGGCGCGTGGAGAGAAATGGGAAAACATAACGCGCAAACTCAATCATTATGGGTCTATTCTAAGCTAAAATGTCTTTTACGCTATCCTATCGAAGTAAAATGTTATTACTTTGTATTTATTAACACTGAGTGAAGGGCACAAAAGGTAAAAATTTAGAGAGTTTTAGATTTACGTTCACGGCAAACGTGAAGTGTTAGTTGACCATTTGAAAATCATTTTAAATAGCTTAAAAAGAATGGC